GGCAGGGGAGGGGGGTGTACGTTCGTGGGGCCGTTTGGCAGCCTACGGCAACACGCCAAGCATGTCCTTCAGGGAGCCATCGAACACGCGCTCACCTTACCATCACCATCCTTCTCTGTCCCTCCTCTGCTCCCCCTATCTACCACCATTACTCTCTCACTCTGCACTCTCATTCTGTTTTTGGGGTTTCACTAGCGCGCGCGCGTCTCCTACGCATCAACGCTAAACTTTTAAAACTGTGGCACATTATTCCTTTTTTTAACTCCAGAGAAAGAGCGGTGTTAGCAAGTAAAGAGTTCGCGGGGCAGAGAAGCCGTGGGTATGGCCGCGACTCCACGGCTTTCACTGCACAGCTGGACCGACCCGCCGCCGACCAGAAAACCAGCAAAAGTGATTTTCCCCCTCTCTTTCTCATTTAGACACACACACAGACAGTCCTTTCTTTCCACAGCGTTCTCTGGTGGGAGACATGCCTTCTTCTGGGAAATGTGTGACGCGTGATATGGCCTTCGCGAGCGGCGCAAGCGGGCGCAAGAGTGGGTGAGAGGGAGGGGGGTAAGGGTGACAGGGAGAAAAGGGGGAGGAAGAGTGAGAGGGGGAAAGGAGAGAGAGAGAGAAAGGAAGCAAGAAAGAGAGCGAATGAGAAGGGAGGAAGGACGAGTAAGAGTGAGACTAACGTGGCTGAGTGGCTGAAACTAACAACCTGCTCTGCATACCGTGCGTCCCCGGGGCCGTATTACGGGCGGGCTCGATGGCAGATGAGAGTGAAGGGCTCTGGCGCCACTGCCTGCCCCGCCCCGCCACACCCTCAGCTGCTAGGGGTAGGAACACCCCGAGTGCAAAGGGGGCCTACACACAGGGCCATCCCCGACCCGTAGCACTATGCAGCCCCGAGAGCGCCCGGGCGGATCACGGGGCTCGGGCTCAGCTGGTCCAGAGGCCTGCGTCGGGGCCGTCCGGCCTGCCCCGCAGTGCTCCGGGGGCACTCGGGCCAAATTGGTGAAATAAGCCGGGCGCAATCAGAGGAGAGAGCGGGGCGCGCGGAGCGGGCGGCACCGCTAATTCACTTATACTGCCGCTATTGATTGGCCGTGACGTGTTGTGCAGCGCGGCGGCCTCCGAGGCCTCCGAGGTCTCCGAGGCCCCCCGAGGCCGGGGCGAGAGCGTCAAGGGCGAGGGCTCCGCACCAGACTACGCGCACAGGTGTAGAGAGATGGAGGGGACACGTCGCTGTCCTGGACGTGGCAACAAAGTCCAACGATCCTGATAGCTGGAAAGCCAGGGGGTCCCGTCGTTTGTACAACCTCTGACCGTTCTGGCATGGTATACGCAAACATTTCGGACGACGTACATTTTGGAACGGCCAGCAGCTTCTACAGCCTGCATTGAAGGTCAATAGGAGCAGTCGAAACACGTGATACGTGATACTCTAAAACCACCTTTGCCATTTTCCGAACAGGCTCGGCCATTCGTAATTGTTCAACGCTGTTCACCAGAGCCCTGTGTCCACCTGTTTCCTCGTCGCATACCACGAAATATCAGCGGTCAAAAGAGATTCAAAAGCGCAACATGACATACAGTGCATAAGCCCAGGGCCGTGTGCAACATTCAGAGGAATGCGCGATGTGAGCACTGTAAAAAGTTTTCGTGATTTTACGAAAAAATATATGTTACGAAAAGCTTCGTTAAAAATTATTTACGAAAATATTTCGAAAGTGTCAATTTACAAAACGTTTCGTAAAGTTACGAAAATATTTCGTAACGAATGCAAATTTTGGGGCGAACGGCTATAAAATTAGACAAAATATAGCATGATTTTCATACCCCTTAGAAACATTTGGATTTTACACAGCAATTCGTAAAATAACAATGTAATCGTAATTTAATAAAAACAAAGTTTTCCAAATAGAACATTAACTGAAAATTTTTCGTAAAATCACAATCAATTTTTTTACAGTGAACTTATTTCCGCGTAGGCGACTGACAGCGGTTGAGTGAGAGACAGTGAAGTGGAGGCTATGGGGACAATCGGAGGACGGCGTGAAAAAAAAAAACAAAAAAAAAAACAGGACCAGTCCGACTGCAAACGGAATACTGGAGTGATAAACTTCGACAATATAATCGGATAACGACACATGTGCACATGTGTGGATGCTTGTCAATTCGAAACAAGTACTTGATTTGTGGTCAACTGTCATTGGGAAGCAAGCACTTACAATAGGACGAATCACTGCTTTGGAACTGCGAAAGGAATCACTTCGTAACTACCAAACATTATTTCTCTTAGCAGCTCTCAAAAAACGAAACTTTTGACTGCTTTTGACAGTGTATACCAAAGAACAATAAAACGATGTTCTAACCTGGGGCGATGGATACTAGTAGGTCCACGCAGCCCGTGAGGACGAGCAGGGCGAGCAGAGGCAGATCCATGGCTGGAGGTCCGGTGTGACACGCGGGAGATTATGGCCTGCAGGGGCGCCTGCAGGAACGCCTGCAGGACGCCGTCGGCATCCTGGCGGCGATGGTGGCAGCGGCCCAATCACTGCATGGCAGAAAACGGTCATCGTGAGCAGAACTATAATACAAGTTACGTAAAAAGGATGTGGTTCAAAGCACGTGCGATGTCACTCCAAATGGAAAAGAACAATTTTGTACCTAGCATAAGTTGTTTGTGTGTTTGTGTGTATCACGATGTAGTTAATACGGTGTCGGCACTGAGCTATCTGAGGGGGCCGCGGAAAGACGGCACATTCGTAGTTCTAGAAGAGCCGCCA